CAGAAATTCTTCGCCAGACGCTCTTTGCGGTTGGAGTCATTAGCATAACACACAGAACTTGCCATTTCCATTCCCTGATGGCTTTTCCATCCTCATCTTCCTCACCGCCACACCTCACTTCGTGTACTATTCCCATATCGACTAAATGGCAACTTTTCAAACATGATATGCTTTTTCATGCCTCTGTCTTTGCACATGTGATTTCTTCCATTTGAAATTATCTACTCATCCCTCCCCACCTTTCCTGATTGTTTGGCTAAGTTTTAATGCATTGTTTAGTATTTAACATCAAGTGTTAACTCAGGTTAGATAGGTTTTCTGAGGCATCCAGGCTAAGATAATACCTCATTCCTGTGTTTATCCTATAGTCACATAAAACATATAGATAGTGTATAACATACAGTAATGTATATAACATTTTCAAATAGAGTGTAATACATAATAAGGTGATTGTTCAGGGAGAGCACTGTTTCTCTGGGATGATAATCCTATATTACAGTAAGGGGCTCTGTCTGTAGTGTAGGATTGCAGGGAAAGGAAAGAGAACTGGTCCCCGAGGACCTAAGGCTTGCTAAGGGAGGGGGTAGGAGTTGGACGTGGGAATGTGCGGAGCAGGCAGTCAGGGTGGAGCCAGGTGCAGAGATGAGGTGCTCACAAGCAATCTGCATAAGGAGTCTGCAGACTCCAGCCCAAGGGCCAAATCCACCCCCTGCCTGTTTTTGTAAATAAAATTTTACTGGGATACAACTAAATCCATTTGTTTACATATTGGTTTTGGCTGTTTTCATTCTACAGCAACATAACTGAGTAGCTGCAGCAGAGAATGTATGGCCCTCAAACTCTAAAATATTTGCCATCTGTCCTTTTACAGAAAAAGCTGGTCAGTCCTGCTCTAGGTCAGCAGGTCCTCAAACCAGCAGGCCTACCCCGAGACATGTTGATGAGAAATGCTGGGTGTGGGCCCAGCAATCTGTGTGAATAATAAGCCCTTCAGGTGATTCTGCTGCATGCTAACGTTTGAAAAGAACCGCTGAATTTTTGGCCCGGTGGTTTGTTACTTGGGGCATGATGACAGCCAGGAGAAATGCCAGTAAAAACACAGAGGTGCAGGGGGAAAACAAGGCAGAGAGGAAAGCAACGAAGGGCCTCGAATGTGCTTTCTGAACTACAGACCCCTGCAGTAGGGAACTGGCTGTTGTGTCCCCAGCACCACCTGTTCAGGTGTGTTTGTGAATGGACGCAGCCAGGCGTGTGTACCTGTAAAGGGGCTAATCCCAAAATGGGAATCCGGGGCCAGCAAGTTGCAATAAGGAAATAAGTCCACCCAGTAAGAGTGACTCAGGACTGCAGCTGAAACCCATTCATAGGAACAAGGTATGATTAAAGACCAGAGCAAAGACAAATGTGTTAAAAACCTGATGATTTTCCATTCAACTCAGTTTTATTTCCCGTTTGCTTCCTCTGGGTATGTATTGATTCTTGGTGTTTTCTTAATTGTCACAGCTCAGCTAGCTATTCCTCTGTTTGACCCTAGATAATTACTCAACCTCTCTGAAGTTATTAACTGAATTAATTAACGTAAAATGCTTAGCAGTGTCTGGTCCATTTTCTCTGCTCGGGAAATTTGAGTTGCTGCTTCGTCATCTTTCTGGTCATAATCTTATTTCATATTAAAGTAAAGGTTAATATGTTACTAGTATCTATCCATGTTTACTCCAGTGGTAACATTTTGCTTTTGCTTACCAGCATTACTTCTTTGTCTTTAAAGAAACATCTGCCAAATAGCACATGTTGTAATCTGAAGCCTAAATTGATAAGAGTTTGATTATTGTACTTTTCTCATTTAGGAACATATCACAAACTTTTTAAAAAATATGACATCATCAAAGCACTGACAAACTATTTGATAATATAGAAATAGGTCACTTTGAGGTTCTGTTGTTTAGCAAAGTATACATCTATTGGGGAAAAGACAAACTTTCTGAATCTATTATTATTTTACCAGACTCTACATGAAGTTTCTAAATACATGAAGCTTTTTATCTTCAGTAGGGTAGAAATTTTATATGTCTTTTTTAAAATTCTGCATACATTAGGAACATCTGAAAGAGAAAATAAGATTATTGGGGGCTTTACTAGGTGAATAAATATTATTTCATGATTTTTCAGTGATAACTCAATCTGTATTATATCGAAGAATAATCAACCTAAAACTTTCATAACTGTTGACATGGTGACATTTTGAAAGTAAAATTAGTGTTTAGGTTTTTTTTTAATTCCATAAATGCCGTGGGAATTTTATCACGTTTCAACACTTGCTAAATATGTAATTCCCACAGTGCCCATTAGTGGCCGTCTGTGTAAGGTAATACATTTTGGGGATGAAATTGATTATTGGGGGCTTTACTAGGTGAATAAATATTA